CTCAATGCTTTGTACTCAAACAATCTTCATGAAATTTGCGTCGTATAGACCAATTGCGACAGATAATTCAGTCACCAAAGTTGGAAAGTTTTATTACCCGGGTATAAAGTAAGTATGGTGGGATAGTCGAACTCGTGCAGGCACTTCTTGTCAAAGGCGAAGGGTACTCAGGAATTCCAATGTCAACGTACGTTGCTTGTCGTCCTTTATGTCGAAGAATCATCTCCATGCGCCGACGCTGAGGTACCCCTCGCACCCACTTACCACATTGAGTGCTTGAACTACCTCTTCGGTGATGTAATATCTGGTAAGGAATGTTACTTTCTTCAATCACTCAAACTTCTATACGTGGATTGGGTTTCTAAAAGGCCTCAAGCAATCGTCAGTGGGGGGAACAAGCATGGATGAGGAAGGCGTCGTGATTTTTTTACTAGGTTTGACTCTCTTCTTCATTGGTTCCATTGAATGCATGTGTAGAGACAATAACCTATAAAACATACCCCACAAACAATACATCTACAAATTTTGGGAAATACAACGTACATCTACAAATTTTGTCTAGCTATGGCATATGTGTCATTCGTGATTAAAATATATGTGGCTATATAATGGTAGGAAAATAGTAGTTAGTTATGGAATGGACGCATGCATTTGTACGGTGCATACGCGCCCAAAAGCAAAAAATAACATAAATTTAATATTGAAATGGAGTGTTGATGTCTAACAAACATATGTTACATCGATCCACTTGATTACAAAAATCTTGCATAAACTACGGCACCACCATAGGGATCTTCAAACTTACGCTAATAGACCAACTTGAAAGGCAACATTCATGGTTAGACGATTAGCCACACAAAGACAACGATCACTGCAATATACAAAATGGCTATCCACTTTCATAGGTTTGACATTTACGTCATCGATTCTTTGTGTTATGTTCGATGAGGTACAAAAACTCTCAGTCTCTTGTATGTATTCCTTTATTTTCCATGGCCCGCATAGGCATTCTAGTATAGGCCCCCTCCCCGCCCCCTCTCCCCGCGGATGGTTGTTGTGGAACAACATCGGCTACCATGGTGCCCTCTCACTCTGAAGATCACCAAAATAATCCTTGTCCTCGAGAGAAGTACGGGCATAAAACATAAGGACAGCTAGGTTTCTTAGTGGTATGGCTAATGTTCCGAGGCATCAGAGTTCCATGTACATCACAATGTTGGTGTATATTTGTGATCAACATCCTCATTCTACTGCAATATGAAGAGTAGAAAATATGTCCAATAGAACTGTCGAACAAACAAAGAAGTGCATATGTCCATCTTAAGCAGCTATATGAAAATATATGAAGGCAATTACACACATTCATACTATGGCAGATAAAATTTGTCGGTAAAATTTGTAATTCAACATCGGACGCCTTAAGATTATGAACCTTCGGTTAAGAACTCCTAATGCTCGTTGCACCACATTTCAAAGTTGAGAGTGTCGATAGTTACATAATTCTTTAGGACCATGCGGGCCTCCAGGCGTGTTGCAAAATGTCCGAAAGTGGTATCAGTGGGACTAGAAAAAAATGAGCATCAAGACGGAATAGTTATACACCGAGTCCACTAGATAATACTTTTATATTTAAACCCCTACGTGTTACCGCTATATCTATGGGCCCGTTTGTGTAAGAGGACATGGTGTAGAAATAGAAATAGATGGATCTTTTAAGGGCAAAGAAAAATCTTGTGAAACGGCTATTGCGTGATTTAACTCATGGGAGTCATGCGCACTCCCCTCAGAACCCGCATAGATGTATACGAAGTGTATCTCATGGTCTACAACTTTCACGATAGATTGTTTTGTATTCTATTTCCGACTATGAAAATACGGGGCATCAACAGCAGGGGCGCACATATGTATCAGTGTACCATCGAGGGCCCCAACACAATCATGTAGAGGAATTTGTAGGGCAGTATAGGAGAGTTTGTTCCATTGATCAAGTAACATACAAAAAAAATGAAAAGAGTCATTTTATACCTTAGAATAAAGCATGAAGTGTCAATTTGAAGCTATGCGAGAATGCATGACGGATTGATCTCTAAGACAAACAACCTCCGATCTAAACAATATCTCACATACTCGTTTAACATAGACCATATCATGTGTGTTGAGTGTTGGAACTGCTCTGCACTGCTAAGATGCCTGTTGGAATGGGCAACCGTATAAAGGAAAATAGAGAAGGCCTCATGGACCCTAACATGCATCTGTAGATGGGGCATAATTAATCCTCGGGTAGTCAACATATCACAAATCCGTAGAGAAATCTACTTTGTCACCCGTAATATGTTTATAAGCTCTTGTGTAAATGTTGAACCACTCAATACGGAGTCGTAGTAACGCGTTGAGCATAACCCTTGTACAAATACAGTGGCGGAAATGCAAGACATGTTGTGCAATGCCTCCATATATGCTTTCTCCATTGTTCCTCCTCCGAGTCATCGCGCCTGATAGCCTTCTCATCATCCTCCCAATGAAACTCATCATCATTATAGGTTCAATACCCCTCGTTAGGAATGTTGTTATTGTCGGGGTTCATCCCAGAAGTATTTACCATTGTGACATTGAATAAAGAGGAATTCATTCATAATACAGATATTGAAAGCAACAATAATTGCATTTAGTTCTTCCACTGGTTGGCACAGAACGGTTACACACATTCACGCCAACGTCACATACACTCGAATGACAATAAAAAATACAAAGGGACAATAGTTGCATAATTGGAACTAATTAAAGGCTTAGCTAACTAACATTGTGTGAAATAAAAAGCCCACATCTTCTGGCATGCGAGAGGCCACGAGAGGAATAGCACTCGACAGTCGAGAAAAGATATCTTGCATGATGCCTGCACTATCACCACATCGGAGATATATGTAAACGAGTCAAGAATAGTCTGCGCTCGGAGGAGAGTGTTGTGGCGTTTAGTGTCCCTTGTAAGTAAGTTATGTTGAATCATCTCATAACTCTTTTGAAATTGTCTTTCAATACATTGTGTGAACTTCTCATTTGTTGAGACTCCACTACGACAACGAGTGGCTTTCTCTTCGCGGTGTGCATTGGCGGGCTACTGGTAAAGCCATCGTTCATTATTGACGACATTCGTGGACCATCAAACTCATTAAGCAGATCATCCATTAGAACGTTAGATGTGCCAAAAGCCATTGGCTCTGTTATTTAGGTCAAATCCATGCTGCGGGGAGTGACATAGTTTGATTGCCCGGCGTCCCCATTCACACAATGGCTATTGAACATTTTGTGACAGTAATCGAAGTGAGCAAATGGCCACGTCAGTAACACAGCATCCCCGGGGTGCGCATGCGAGTTCACAGTGGATATCATTCACACATTGCGTTAATCCCCCACTCAAATTATATTATGGGATTACGAGTGTTACTGATAAGTACGCCTATTTCGGGGTCAATGGGTAGTACTTCTATTTCGGAGTCAATGGGTAGTACTTCTATTTCGGAGTCCCAGATAAGTCTTGTTTGATATACAATAAGGTCACATTATAGGCCATACTTAGTTTTCATTTGTTTGAGGTGGCCGCTGCACTGCTCCCGCAATACCCCGCCCATGCGGCATCTACGATGGTGGAACTATGACACCCTGACCCCCAAGCAATGCAAAGCCAAGCATGTCGGGATTGTAGATTCGCCCCACGGGTCAATACGAGTCCTTCCAGCACATTTTGTCCTAACTCATGTGCACCCTGGGAGGCTTCCCAGGGGATCACCCATCCTCAAATTATTTTTAGGCAATCACGCATAACTCTAAAGTTTTTTCAGTAACGTTCCTGAAAAAAAATGTGCATATTATTGACATGAGTAGTCTATTCTACCCACTCAATCTCTATTCACTCTTGGATGGTCTGTTACCAGCTCATCCATGGAAGTTGGCCTAGAACCGGCCCAACTCCGAGGGTATTACAGAAACACAAAAATATCAAAAGGTTGTAAAAAGAAGTTACGATGAATAATAGATGGAATGAGGAGATGGTGTGAGCCTCAAGGGTATGTTGTAAACTGGCTATCTTCCATTTTCATTGCGTTCGGAAATGGATACAGACGTCCCAATGAAGCTTTGGGCATATGGGATACCCTGTTGGTTGTTGGTCAATCTTTGCATTCATTTAAGGGACATGTACAGTATTAATGTCATAAATATTAGAAATACTTTAATATAGTTAAAATTGAAGTACAACTATCACAAATACAATTATAGGTCGTGCATGTAGCTCAAACATTTATTCCCCTAGCACAAAAGTTACCACCTAAACTAGAGGTCATGGAAGAAGGTGTACCTTGATGACATCATTATAGAGCACCCACCCCACATAATGGGAAAACAAAGTCCATGATGAGTGCTATAAATAGGTTCTCCGATGTGGTTCTACGAAGGGAACCCCCTATCGTGCACCACTGAAAATCAACAAAGGCATGTTCAAATGGAGCGCTCACATAATTACATTTCATCAAATGGAAATGCACAACATGACTTGGGTAGGGGGCTGTGCAATTTCTGTAGCTGTGATTGTACACACATTCCTTACAGGCTTTATTCAAATGGACAGTTACAACCTGAGCGCTTGAAACTACATCGTCGGCTACTAAGGAAACCTCTACTTTTAAGCTACTCTAGAGGATACAACCGGAATCATTTACCAATTACTATGATTAGCCGCAGCTATCACCCTAATCGAAGTGACGGATTCCGCGCGTGCATATGGAATAGAGTATCGAACGAGGTTCATATTCCAGTAAGCCAATTTGAATGTTAAATGAGATCGAGGTTAGAGTTTATAAACGTTGGAATGGTCAATCAAAGTTATGGATCGAACCAACTAGGTAGCCGAGCTATTTTCGGATAAAGTTACTGATTGGATTTTGTTCACTAACCGGAACAACTATAAATTTCTTAATCCGAACGAATGCTTGAAAACACACACCGCGTATTAAAGTTATCTTCATTAACCGCCTAACAGACACATCTAAGTCAACACGAATTATCTAATATTAAATCAAATTGGTACGTTAGGAAAGCAGATAATCTACCGACGTAAGAGATTACTGCCCTTACAACTATTTAACTAGGTGACTTTGGAAATAGATTTTAATACAAAAATCAAGAAATTACTTCACCGAAAATCGGTTGCGGGGCGGCGCATCGTCTCTAACCACACTCCCTCTCAACGGAATCAATGGCTGAAAATGTCGATCGGTAGAAGAAGATGCCCAAAATCTACCGTACTCGAAAGCGCAAACAAACAAATAAATCTCAATTTAGCTAATAGATCTACCGATATTGGCAAGTAAATCGAATTCTAACAACCGATTAAATTTGTGGAAGCTCCTTTAAAACCCAAATGCAAAAGAGAATCGAGATTTTACCGGCTTGAGCTCTTCCGCTATAAAATCGGAAGAACTGGTCCTCCGCCCGTACACCACGCCCTTCCAGCCACGTCGCCGGTATCGTCGCCTGCTGCCACTCACCTTTGCGTCTGTTGATGAGCAAAATACCCAACATCAGCTATCGGTGCCTTTTGGAAAGAGGAGGAGGTTGTGTTAAGTTGAAGGTGTAGTGGTAAAATATTAAATCGGTGTGAGAGAAAAAGAAAATAGGGCGAGAAAAAAAAAATAATAAAATAAAATAAAATAAAATAAATCAAAACTTATAAAGAATAGCCTTGCAGTGAATGTCTCGAAGTCTCGCGCCAAAACATCGGTCCACTATAGATGTACAGTGGTTTTGGGAAACCTATCCCAAAGAACTCAGAGCCATTTTTGTTTGGGCAAAAATATTTTAAAAAAAATAATAGCCCCTCCGCTACATATGAATTTTTTTCTTTTTTTTTTTTTTTTCTATAAAAGATAATTATTTTTTATTTTTAGTAAATTATTAATTTTAAGTATATTTAAAAAATATAAATCAATATAATTAAATTTCTAAAAATAGGACCTATTCAAAATCATTTTGTTTCTATCTTTCTCTTCAAAAAATAAATACTTTTGTCTATTTAAAACTCCTCAATTTTTATAAAATTAATTTTAAGTTAAATATAAAAAAAAAAATATATTTTTTTTTATTTATGTTATATAAAATTTTATTATCTACAAAAATGAGATCTATATTGTATATATTTTATTGGGATATAATATTAGAAATATTTCAACTACCAACGATACTACTCATATAAAAATAATAGCATAATATATTATTAATAACTTACTAATTCTAACTAAAAACGTTCATCATATGCGGGATGTGGGGAGCAATATTTTAATGTAAAAAGTAAAATGAGAGTATTATAAAAAAAAATTATAAAAATATAATGAGATAAATAAAAAAAAGTGATAATATATTGATTATTATTTATTAAAATATGAATAATAAAATTATTGATAAATAAATTTGTTTATTATAAATAAATTATTTATAAATTTAAAATAGAGCAAAAAAATGTAATTTCATGAATAGAGAAAATAATTTTTTAATAATGTTAGAATTTATATCTTCTTAGTTTAATTACAAATTTCATTGGAACCTAATACCCTGCAAATCAATCATAATGTCACAATTTTTTTTCACACTATCAGACCATCTCTTACGCAAACTACTATTTCTATTATTAATACGTTCGTGTAGTACATCATGAACTCCCTCGTACATACTATAGTGTATTTTTTATTTATATTTATTTTAATTTTGTATAATTTTAGAAAATATATTTTTTCCATCCACTCTCATAAATGTTATCTAAATAATATTATAAATCAAATTTTTAAATCAAAGCATATCATATGAAAATATCGTTTTATCTATTTTATTTGTGCACACATGCTTTAATAAGGGACAAGAATCTCTCTGCCTCCCCATACAAACAAACCGACACCCTGTCCGTCCATAGTCGTGCTCGTCACGGCACAATACACGAAACACATACATTATTATATTTATCCAGATTCTAGGGGTATAAAAATAAATAAATAAAATTAAGAGAACATATGGCTCTGTTTGTTTGGCATATCAAATCCTCTATTTTCATTTTTCTTTATTCTCCCTATTTCAATTAATAAAATGTTGTCACTTGATGAGAGAGAATAATTAATACCATTTATGTATTTTTTAATTTCTTCATAATTCTATTATTTATTGATTTACTTTTTTTTTTCAAAAAAATATTTTAAATTAAGTTTTATTCAGTAATTTAGCTATCCTAATTTGTATTATATTATACTTTCTCCATCCCACATGTTGTGTCCATATTGTCGTTTCTATCCGTCCTACATACCATGTTATTTTCATTTTTTGGAAAATAATTACACATTTTAATCTTATTTTAAAACATTTTAATTTTTTTTTTTAAATTTTAATTAAACTAATTAGTTATCTTAATTTTAATTTATAATTATTTATATTATAAGATAATTATTTTCACTAATACATTCTTAATTATCTATTAATTATACCCCTCCTAAAATACCATGTCTACAGTGTAGCAGACACTGTATGTGGGACGGAGATAGTATTATTTTAAAAAATATATTAATACTATTTTTCATAAGATATATTGTTCAAATATTGTTTAAACAATTTTATGATGAAATATTATACAAAGAATTTAAATTTAATTTTTTATATAACATATAAATTCAAATTTTATAATACATTAAAATAATATAATATTGTATGAAAAAATAATCAAATATTATGATTTCTATATTTCTATTTTATTATATTTTTATTATCTATTTATTTTTTTCTTCTAAAATATATATGAAAGTTATATTAAAATTTAATTTAATTTATATTATTTTTTAATTTTATTATTTTATAAATTTTGTAAAATTATTATTTGAATATAAAATATTATACTCAAAATAAAATAAATATTAAATTCAAATAAATACTTCAAATATTACGTACAAATTGAGTCTAAATATACAATTTTTCAAATGTAATACTTTGAAAAAAAATAACAATAAAATAATTTAATAAAATTGAGATAGAAAAATAATAAATAAAATTAAGTTAAAATATTTATTTTATTTTATTTTAAAAAAAACTAGCAATAAAATAAAATAATAATAAGAAAATACATAAATGATATTAACATTCTCTCTCGTTCATTACGTGGCAATATTTTATTAGTTGAAATAGGAAGAATAGAAAAAAAAGATAGGAATAGAGAATTTGATGTCGTTTGTTGGCATCTCAACTCGAGTCGGTCTTGTGCTTCCAACCAGTGGCGGCACGACGAATCTACAAGGGGCTAGGGGGCACCCACCACCACCCGCCCCTCCCCTCCAAAAAAAAAAAAACTTGTTTTGTTTTTTAGTATAAAAAATATAACTTTTATGTATTTTTCATAATTTGCTTCTCCAAATTTTATTTTTTTTGAGTAAAAATAATAAAATTTATGTAGATTTGCTATAATATCTAATTTTTTTTAGTAAAAAATAATAAAATTTACTACTTTCTCCGTCTTTCAAGAAGGTTGTCATTAACTTTTTACATGTTGATATTTAAATATTAATTATTATATCAATATGTAGTACAATTAACGAAAAAAAGACAAAAATATATTTATTAATCTCTTATAATACAAATACAATGACATTTGTAGAATAAATATTCAAATATAAGAATATTTTTAATGTAAAAAACGATAATGCAAAAACTAAATGACAACCTTGCACTGGGACAGAGAGAGTATATAGTTATGTTAAAAAAAAATTCTAACTACAAACACATTATTTTTGCTCAGCCTTTTTTTTCTTCTCCTTTACACGGCATCAAAGAGAAATAAAAATAACATCAAATTTATATAAATAAATTTATATGTTGTCCTCTGAAGTTTGGGAGCTAGTTCCGTCACTGAGTGCCGGAGCTAGAGTGATTGGCTTGAAGGGCAAAAGTAGAAAAATATATATATATGTTTGAACATATTTATTGAATTTTATTAAATTAATTATATATTTTAAATAGTACTCTTTTCGTTATGCTATAAATGATCTTATTTCTTTTTTTATTCGTTTCATATAAGATAATTTATTTTTATATTTAATAAATTTATTCATCTAAACATACTTAACAAATATAATTAATTTAATTAAATTTTTAACCTAAAATCCACTAAAAACTATTTATTATTATCTCTTTTCAATAAACAAATATTTTTATTTTTATTTAAAACTCCTATTTTTTTTTAATATTAGTTTTAAGTTAATTATAAATATATATATATTTTCTTTTTTATTTGTATTATATAAAATTTTATTATTTACAAAATGATATTTATATTTTATATATTTTATTAAGATATAGTGTTAAAAATATTTAAAATACGAACGACTAATATTATAACTTATTATTACAATATTTAAAATTATGATAAATTTGTTCTATTGTATTACAATATTTTCTGGAATTTTGAATGAATTAGTTAATTGAGCCGTGAGTTTTGAACATGGTCATATATGTATATTTATAGGAAATCAAGTTGTAGATCCCAAATTGCATTTATCACAATTATGTTTATAGTATTTTTACTTGTGAGTTTTCAGGTCGAAAACAAAGATTTTAAGTCTTGAAATTCAAATCAAGAAATTCTTACAAAATTACACAAGTAGGAAAACGAGAAAATAAAGTAATCCACTCGCAAGCGAGCCAAAAATCAACAAATACATAAGGGAAATTAAAGTAGCTAAGATGAGTGGAAAAGGAATGATAAGATGGAAATGGTGTGCGAGCGGTGAGTGCAGTGAGAGTGTTGATATGCGAAGGCGAGCGGATGAGTAGTGAGCCGATTATATATATATGAATGATGTTGAACAGTTGATGAGCGATGTTGCTAATGACAGGTGCATGATAATATGTGAGCGATATGGGGGATCAGATAAGGTTGTGTGATATGTGCATTCCTTAATGGGTAGGCTCTTATGGAGGAGATGAGCGAGTGATGTTAGTGAATAAGCGAAACATATATATAATATGCAATGACAGAAGTAATTAATGTAATCATGCTTGATTGTTTAACACAAAGTCTTAATTCATTGATACATGACCTTAAAAGATTTAAAACAATACTTCAATGGTACCCAGAATTAGAACATTATAACCAAAAAATGCTACTGTGACTAGACATTTCTATGACCTAATAGACAAGCGTCTATGCCCATTTAATTATCCTACATTCTGTCTCATTAGTGGCTTAACCCTTCAGTGACCTCTCTTTAATCAGAATCGAATTCGGAGCAGTAGTTAATGAGGTCAAAAAGGCTCATCATGTGTACTTAACTACATTGAACAACCTAAATTTTGTTAATGAATACAATACGAATTTAGGTTTAACTAGTCAATTTGTCTATGTTCTTCTGCAGCAAATCATAAATTTGAACTTTAACATTCAAAGACAGATATAAAAAGAGGATGAAGATAAATAGGAAGAAATCATGATATTTCATTTAACTACTGAAACCAATAAAGATCTACATTACGAAAGTTGTAACAAATCAATAAATCAAAGCAATAATCTACACTAGAAAGCCATAAAGTGAGCGACCAGAGGAGAAGGAAATCTCAACTCCCTTGGCCAATCATAAATAGAGAACTCCCTTACAGAGTCTCAAAAAACACTAAAAATCTGAAGAAAAGTATGAACACTTGAGTGTAGTGTAATTACAAATGAAATATGGCCCTATTGATAGATTTCAAGATCTGCAATTAGGCAGCTGTTGAGAAGCGATTTAAAACGTTTGGCAGTTAGGCGGTTGACAGCAGTTAATCTATTAGAGAAGTTGTACCGGCCATAATTCCTAGGATACTCTCTTCGCTTGCCTCAGTCTATATGGGCAAAGATCTTCCTCGCTTGTCTGGCATGGCTGAAGAGCATCAGCACAGCTTAAGTAGTGTTGTCATCGTTGGCTGACAATGGAATGGCATGACCATTTGGAGATGAACACTTAACAAATTTTAGGGTTGGTCCAGTCTCGCTTGCTCAGCGGTGGATGTCTGGTCACTGGCGCTGGCGCAATACCTTCCAGAAGCGGTAAGAGCGTCGCTTGCCTTTCCAGAAGTGTCTTCACTTACCTTCAATACTTAGTTTTTCTAGGCCAGAAACATCGTTTACAAAGGCTGAAAATGTTAATGATTTCGACAAACAGACTCTAGATCATGCCAATCAAAACAAGACAAAAAAGTATATCATAAATCTGATATTGTGATGGTTTTCACATAAAAATTCAAGTAATATACAGTTTTTTCAAGCGAAAAATATGTTGTTATTTGGAGTTATGAGCTCCCTAATCAAGACGAAAATTTTCTCCCTCTTTTCTGCTCTCAACAGGGTGTTGATCCGCGTCATCCAAGGGGTAGCCTTATCCCCAAATTGACCTCCTCTAACGGGTCTTGTGCCTCAAACAGTGGGGTAGCTTGTCGGACCATAGAGTAAATTTTGTCTTTGCCTTGATCCAAAAGAGGCAGCTGGGAAAAGGCCTCTGTCTGCCTGCTGGGAAGGTAAGCAACATGATTTATGGCTTGTAAGAATGGGAAGTTGGACCTGTCTGCTCCTGCCTCCAGATCTTGCAGGATCTGGTCGTCATTCATGACGAACGCATGAGTTGTTGGGCCGTGTGTTGGCCTCTGTTTTGAGGCAAAAATCCGATCTCCTTGACCTTGACATTGTCCTCGTAATGTCAGTCTCGTTCAAACTCCCGATCAATGAATATTAAATTCAAACTTGCTTCCGATAGCTCATTACATTCGAGTGCTCTAATCACCGGCTCATTCTATGGGATCTTGGTTGTTCCAAGTACTGCATGACCCTGAGAATTAACAAGAAAATCATTGTTAGTTAAAAAAATCTTCGGCCTCCACTATTTCCAGGCCCGAAGCCGGTGGCGCAAGTCATCCCTATTTAATTTTGACCTACCAATAGCAGCTCCTTCCTGATTCTTGGACTGTTGCCCCTAGCCTGACCTTCCTGGCCGTCGGTCAGCTGGCTCTACTGGTAAAGACAAGCGGCCAAGCGTTGTCGTTGTAGTCTCCTCTTTTGGGTCCTGATAGGAGATTGTGATCTTTGCTCCTTCTAATTCACAACCCAACTTTGTGATACCCCTAGAGTTGGGCCGTTGCTTGGCCAACTCCCGTATGTGGATGAGCTGGTATTATGCCATCTGAAGTTGATTAGTGGTTCAATGGATTGAATAGATTACTCATGTCAACAATATGCACATTCATTCTCGAGAATTTTATTGAAAGAATTTTAGAGTTAAGTGTGCTTGCCCAAGAGTAATTTGAGGATATGTGACCCTTGGGAAGTCTTCCAAGGTGCACGTGAGTGAGGATAGAAGCGCGCTGGAAGGACTCATTTTAACCTGTGGGGTACGTCTACGATCCCGACACGCCTAACTTTGCGTAGCTTGCAGGCTGGGGTGTCACAAGCTTCCATCATAGGGGCCATTTCGGGAAGACGTGTTTGATATGGTGTAATTACCACCTGATCCACCGAGGTCACTCGCCATACCTCTCCGCCCTTCTCGAAGCTCACTTTGGCGATCGTATTAGTGGGGGAAAGTCTATCCCACATCGAGCTCATTCCTAGAGGTTTAATCAACCTTTCAAGTTGTACGTATCTTGATGGCGTTTATCATGCAGAGAACGGTTCGGTATTAACTTTCATTTTAGGCTTCTCGGCTAGCCGTAGGCAGCCTTCCTTGATGGCTTTATCCTAGGACTCAGCCAAAAAATGTCTCATCTGGTTCATCCTCGGCTTTGGTAGCTTCTCGCTGGGCATGAGCAGGGTAGTTTCCGTTCTAAAAATTCTGATTTTGGGCTGTTTGAGCCTCTTTTACGAGCTGTTCGGCCTTCACAACTTTGGACGTCAGTTGTCGGAAGTCATGATACTCTTGGAGGGCCAATTTTCCACGCAGCTGGTGTCATGTTGTCAATTGCCATGTTCACCACTTGGTTCTCCGATATGCGAACTTGACATCTGTTTTTGGACCTCATAAATCGTTCCAAGAACTGCTCCACAGATTCTTCACCACACTAATGCAAAATTGTCTAGTCCGACACGGTCACTTCTGGAATGAGGTTGTAGAAGCATTCGTGGAAGGTATTTTCCAAGTCCGTCCAGGTATGGTCGGAGTTTAGAGGAAGAGAGGTGTACTAAGAGAAGGTTGGACCAGTCAGGGACAACGAAAATCACTGGAGTTTGTACCAGTTATTATTCCCGAACTCTCTTCTGCATTGAGCCATAATCGGCTAACATGTTCGATCGTAGAGCGGGAATCTTTCCCAGAAAATAGTAAAAAAATCGAGGATCCGAGCACTACGGGATAGTGGGTGATTCATGGCAATATAATCCGAAAAAAGACCTTTGATAGTGGGGTCTTACCGGTAGTCAGTTAAGATCGTCGAAAATTCTACAAATTGCATCTTCGATTGCCTGTGAACTTATGAGGGGATGTGGAAGTGGTGTTATCTCTGCCCGCCCCCAGGTTATTCGAAAGCTGACTGAACGGGCGGCGGATTGCGTAACGCCAGCTGCGGAAAGGCTTGATGAGCAAGCCCCCGAAACAAGAAGCAAGCTCGGACATCTTCTTGGCCTCTTTGAAGACCTGTACTTGCTGCGGTAGCATATTTCCGGGGATCGGCATTGGTGGATGAGTAGGCGGTCCATAGCTCTACTGTAATATCAAAATATTAAATATAATTTTAGACAATTAATTATTAGAAAATATTAATTTCTTATTGATTAATTTTAAATTTAATAAAAATATTTGATGTTGTTGTCGTCAAGAAATCACCACCAACGGTTTAATCGGAGAAACCTATTGAAATTGATTTGTTCGAAGGATCCCTTGGCCTCCTCAAGAAAAGATCCAGGGTATCTTTCAATTTTTAGATAAATAACGTAACAAGAAGGTCGAAATTAATAAATTGAAGATAAATAAAATGCTGAAAATCGAATAAATAAGGCTGGAATTTTATTAAAAATGCATAAAATTAAAAAAAAAAAAAAAAAGAAACTGTAGAAACAATATAATAATACTAAGAAAAATTGAAAGAAAAATTATTAATGCGTAGAAGGTGTATGGATTTCGTTCTCTTATTACTTTTTTAATATCATGTCCAAATACTATATAAATACAATTATACGACTGAAATATTGTATAGATTATAACTTAAATTTTTATGTAATATTTAAATCAGAATTTTATAATATACTAGTGTAATTGATGTTTTATGAAAAATTAATTAGATATGATTTAGGTATTTTTATTTTATCATATTTATTTTTTTTCCAAAAATAAATATTATATTAAAACTTAATTTTATTTTTTATATTACTTTATAAATTTTTTAAAATATTATTTAAACATAAAATATCATATTCAAAATAAAAGTAAATATTAAATTAAAATAAATCTTTTAAATATTATGTAAAAACTGAGTTTATAGAGTATTTTAATTATGATATCTAAAAATAATATATTTTTACTACAAAATTATAATGCTATAATAAAACATTGATATAGAAAAATAATTGAATAAAAATTAAATTAAAATATATATTTTATTTTATTTAAAAAAGTTATAAATAATAAAAATAATAGTTTCATTGACATTATGCATTTTTCACGTATTATTTTTTATAATGTTGAAATTTGCAATATTTACTAACAAATTTTTAATCGAATTTAATAGTCTGTAAAATAAATTATATGTAATAAACAATATTTAAATTTGAATTTATAATTTTATGATCACAAATTTATCTTCGCATCACCCATCTATCCCTTCGCATTTTATTTATTTATTTTTATAACATTCGAATCTACAGACTACCCAAAAATGTCCATCTACTTGATTCGCATGCATGTTATTTTATTAAATGGAACATGGAATAGAGACAATTTTTTACAGAAAGCATTTGATGCGTTCTTAGAATCCGTGACAAAGGTACATGGTCTCCCTATGTATCTCGTTATCCGGGCGCAAATGGATCTCTTCTTGCACTTTAACAACGCCATGTTTGGTTGCAAGTGCAACAATGTCTTCCTCCTCGTCTCAATCCTCCTCCTCCCCCAAACAACCCCCAGCCCTAACCCCACCATCCTCTACGACATCTACCCCTTCATCAGAGTCTACACCAACGGCACCATCCAGCGCTTCATCGGCCAGGATTTCTCCCCCCCAAACGACGACCCTCTCTCCGCCGTCCGATCCAAGGACATTCAGATCTCCCCAAACCCTAACCTCATCTCCGCCCGCCTCTACCTGCCCCGACCACCACACCCTTCCCACCGATTCCCCCTCCTCATCTACTTCCATGGCGGCGGTTTCTTCACCGAATCCGCCTTCTCCAACACCTACCACACCCACCTCACCTCCCTCGCTTCCAAATCCAAAGTCCTCGCCGTTTCCGTAAATTACCGACTGGCGCCGGAGCACCCCCTCCCCACCGCCTACCAAGACGCCTGGCGAGCCCTAAAATGGTCGCTCCGCCACGCCGCCGGCATTAATGGCACCGAGCCGTGGCTGACGCGCCACGCCGACTTCAATCGCGTCTACTTAGGCGGGGACAGCGTCGGCGCCAACATCGCCCACCGCATGTCACTCCTGATCGGAGAAGGATATTCCGGCGTCCGCGTCGCCGGCATGTTCCTGAACTGCCCGTACTTTCTGGGCAGCCGGGCGGTGGGGAACGAGTTGGCGAGCGAGTACTCGTACGTGGCGGAGCAGATGAAGAAGCTGTGGCGGTATGCCTACCCGAACAGCACGGGCGGGTTGGACGACCCGCTAGTGAATCCGGGTATGGATAGGGGGCTAAGGGGAGTGGGTTGCGGGAAGGTGCTGGTGTACGTGGCGGGGAATGATTGGTTGAAGTACAGAGGGTGGTATTACAAGGGGGCGTTGTCGAGGAGCGGGTGGGTCGGGGAGATTAAGGTGGTGGAGGTGGGAGGGGAGAGCCACGTCTTCAATTTGATCAACCCTCGCACCCCTAAGGCTCTCGCGATGCTTACGGCTTTGGCCAATTTTCTCAACGCTCGTTGGTGACCACATCCCAATTCCAATTTCTACCAGATCCATTCACATTAATGTTTCTCTATCCTTTGTCATCTTTCTTTCTCTTCTTCAATCAAGAATAAACTTGGGCTCTTTTTTCTTTTTCTTTTTTTTTATTTTGTTTAACTTTGATCAATGATGTTGTTTATTAATTGGGTCTGAACTGAAATTGCTGATAAATGACTTGACAGTAGCCTTGGTACAAAAATTGAGGTCAAATTGTTTTTTCCATTACAATTGGAAGACCTACATAATTGAATTAGATCGGTTTGTCTAGAGAAGGGGCTTTTGAAAATTTGAAAAAAAAAAAATAATAATAAATTAATATTTGATTTGATATTTTATAAGACAAAAAAATATATTTGATACAATATATTTTGAAAAATGAATAGTATCAAGAATTTATTGGGTAAACAGAATCACTTCTGGCTTTTCTTTGATACAAAGTTTGAGAAACATACTGTTCTACTATTGTTTAGTGTAAAATCAGTGTCAAATCGAAAAATATGAGACAATTTTATGCGTAAGTAGTAAAAAATTTAATTGTTTATAAAGAATAAAATTTTATATAATTTAAATAAATAAAATAGTATAAATATTTATTTATAATAAATATAAATTAATATTTAAATTATATCATTATTAATTTTATAAATTTAATTTAATTCATGTTTACATCATCACATCTATTAACTAGATCAATATACATTAAAATCCCTCAAATTCAAACCAAACATACTAATTCAAAGAACACGTCTTCTCATAACTATAAAAAAAATTCAAATTTGTTCAGTGAGGAATGATACGGTGGTGTAGGGGTTGGACGTAGGTACCTAGTGCGCACTTTCGGTAGTGACGGTTACGGATACCAACCGTCATTAAAATATATATATATATATATATATTCAAATTCATATGCCTTAAAGAAGAATTAATTGGAGATGATAGTTGGGGTGAGTTATCAGCATTGGTTGCTGATTGGTTCAAACCTAAAAAATCGGAAAAAAATTTCGTTCGGTATGCTTGGTTTGAACTGTTCGGTTAATTGGTTCAATTAGGTCCAAAAATGAATTTATAATTTCGGTTTCGATTCGGTTATTATTTTTTATTTTTTAATTTTGGTTAATCGAAAAAATCGAACTTTTAAAAATAATATATATATTATAATTTTGAGTATTTGTATTTAATTATATACGTAAAATATATAATAATAAATAAAAGTTCAGTTTCTTCGATTTTAAACCGAACCAAACTGAACTAGTTTGATTCAGTTTATTTGGTTTTGATAAACTTTGGTTCGATTTCGATTTCAATTTTTGTAAATCGAAAACCGATCGACCTAATGCACACCCCTGGAGTTATCTCTCTACTCAAATGGAATGGGTTTTGGTGTTTGGGCTAGGTTTCTCAATTGGGCCACAGCGTCTTGGTAGTGGTCGGGCTTTTGAAAATTGAGCACCTTGGAGAATTGCGTGTTGTTTGTAGAGTTGGCAATGGATTGATTCGTGTCGGGTTTGTGTCGGATTGAATATTTTAAACGGGTTAAATTACTCAATAATAACCTAACCCATTTATTATCGTGTCGGGTTCGTGTTAATCCGTTTATTATCGTGCCGGGTTCGGGTTGACTCGTGTTGACCCGTATCCATAATTAAGTCAAATTTTTGATTCAAATTAAATAATTTTTTGTTGTGTTGTCGTGTTAGGTTAGTTTTTATTGGTTTGAGCGTAAATTAGATTGAATTATTTAAAATTGAACTTAGTTTAAATTAATTTATGAGAAAATTAATAAATTATGAATACTTTACATATATAATAAATATATTAATCAATATTAATATATTATAATCGGGTTGTTGTGTCGGGTTCGAGTTGAGAGTCTCAACCCTAACCCAACCCGTTTATTATCCTGTTGGGTTCGTGTCAACCCGTATATACAATCGGGTTAAAATCTTTGACTCAAACCCAATTATTTTGTATCGGATCGTGTCGAATTGTCGTGTCGGGTTAATTTTTGTCGGGTCTAGTTGTTTGGATGTAGTTGGACTGTCTCGCTGATTTCGATCGCTGCTGCTTCTTTGTATCTTTAGTTATGGTTTTTGTTTTATTTGGATTATTCTTCTATTATGATATACTCATTTGTTCAACGCACCACGTAATATTTTCTATTTTAATCAGTTTACCTATCATGTAATATTTTAAAAATAAAAAATAATTAATCACTTAAATAAAAAAATAAATATATCTATATTTTGTTCTCTGATCACATCACCTAAATTTTATTTTATCCTACTCATCTAAATTCTGTGTCGAAATTCAAACATTGCTTCTTACATGAGATGAAGTGAGTAATAGTAACCATTTTTAAAGAAAAATAAAATGAAGATCCAGACTCAAAATTTTTTTGTCTCAGATGGATTAAGAATTCTAGTACTCCCTGGTCCCTGCTACGGTGTCCCTTTTATTGTAGACACAGAAATTTAAAAGTGGTATAATTAGTAAATAATTAATAATATATTAGTGAAAATAATGATTGTATAGTAAAATAATTTTTTTATTATGATTAAATAACTAATTAGTTTTATTAAAATTTAAAAAATTATAAATTAAAAAAATTAAAGCAAAATTAAAGTGTATAATTCTTTTCCATAAAAGAAATATGATAGAATAAGTGAGATAGTCGAAAATAAAAAATTGAACACGATAAATAGAACAGAGAAAATATTTAAATTTGACCGCATTAAAGGGGTGTTTGGCAAATAGCTTTTTGAAGAGCTTTTAGCTTATTGAACAACTTAGCTGTTTGACCAGTCAAAAAACTAATTTAGATGTTTGGTAAATTAGCTTTTTGGAATAGCTTTTTGGACCCGAAAAACTAATTTCTGAAAAGCTAACTTACCCAGCGTTTTAAAATAGCTTTTTCTGTAAAAAAAATTTTATTCCTTATATGCCCTTAAAAATTTATTATACATTTTACGCAAATAAAGATATTTTGATTATTTATTAATTATATTAGAATATTTTATTATATTATAGTTTTACTTTTATAAATTTAAAATAATTAATTTTTATATAAAATTATTTTAATTGTAAAATATATAAATTTATTAAAATCAACATAAAATAAAAAATATAAATATTAATAATTTATTTTTTTATTAAAATTACATTATATAAATTTTATACTAAAAATAAATTAAATAAATTAAATTTATTGAAAATTATAAATATAATGAACTAATCGATAATTAACATAATAAATATATACACGAAAATTTATTATTTTATATTTTACATCATTTTCAATAAAAAACTATTTATATATTTTAATAAAAATATATTATTTTTTAAATCTAACTGTAATAAAAATAAATACTTTTATAACACTTTTACAATTTTCAATAACTAATAACAAAAAATTTTAAATATTCTAAACTAAAAAAAAAATATATAATTGAATATATTAGAAACAAGAATAAAATAGAAATATCCTCAATTGTCATTTTACATATAAACAGCTAATATCAAACAGTTGTTTTACCAAATATTTTAATATAAACAACTAATCGAATCAGCTAGTCAAACCAGCTAATTGAATCAGCTAACAGCTAACAGCTATCATCTAATTACCAAACACGCCCTAAGAGGTAGAAGTGAGCAAAATATTTAAAATTCGAATTAAAATTAAAATTTTGTTTTGAATTTTTGAATTTGACTGAATAATACTTTTAGTAAATTTTTAGTTTTCGACCGACTAAAATTAATATAATAAAATCTTCAACCACCTGAAAATATAATATATATTAATATTTTATTTTATTTAATGGAAAAAACCAAGGATTTTATAATCCATAAATAAAATAATAATTACATAATACATCGGACATACAGGAAAAATGTAAAGAATCACAAACTCATCAAGGACCAAACTCAAATATAAAAGAAACTAAAAAATCCATAAAATAAAATATTAAATATTTTATTATTACTATTATATATATTTAATATTTTAATCACATATATTTAAACAAAATAAAATTATCAAAATTTGGCTTTTCAAACATATTATATAATTCAAAATTTTCAATTTGGTTCAAATTTGAAAATTGAATTTTAGTTTTTCAAGATTTCGAAATTTTGGTTTACTTTGGATTTTCAAAATTTTAATCGGTCCGGATTGATTTTTACTAAAGAAAATTTTTGAAAATTTTCGATTGATTCAAATTTAATAAAATTCGAATAAAAAATTTGAGTACCCATCCTTTTTTTTTTTTTTTTTTTTTAATGTATAGAACGGTGAATCTACTTTAGTTAAAGTTGATTACGGATTGTTGAGTTTTGTATTCAATCCAATTAAATGTCGCACTAAATATTATAGTATAAAATGATTTTCCATGTACATGTAAAATACTAATTTACAACCTGATGCTTGTTAAAATATTTTCACATAGTTAACAAAAGAAAAGGTATTTTCACACATATTTTAAATTATGAATTTAATTATATGTCAATATAAGGATCATTTATATATTATATTTTGAAAAATATCAAATAATAATATGGTTCTTAATTGAAGTTTAAAATATTTTCACACAATGTATAAAATACTGAATTTTGTATTTAATCTCGTCAAATGTCGTGTTGAATAATATATGATAAAATAATTCTCATGCACACATAAATGCTAAAATTAATAAAATAAAATAAAATATTAATTTATTTTAATTAACAATAATATATACAACAACGAATGCTAATACATATTACCCAAAGGCTAAACTGAAGCAAAATAGGTGTTAATAGTTTAACTATTTTAACTTTGTAATAAAGTGTAATGCATCAAATGTTCAAATTATGTCACTATTTATCTTCCATTTTGTCCATCCAGTTGAAGATGTATATTCGAATTACAATATGTTATCATCTCATGATTATGATGCATTATCTTAATATTTTATAATTTGTTGCATTCTTTGTACTTTGTTATTGATACAATATTTCATGTATTGTATTTGATACAAGTTCTTTTTTATTTTTATTTTTTTCATAAATCTTAATCGTAATTGCAAACCCTTTGTTATGTTCATAGTTACA